AAGAATTTACAATTTTTTCTCAATTTTTCAACTTAATTCTCTAATTTAATGATAAAAATAAGATAAAACCATGAAATAAAATCAAAACTGGGTAAAGATCACTTACCCCAAACAACCACGTGAAGAACCCCTCAAAAATCGCTCAAATCCGAGGTCTCTAGCTCAAAAGTTGAAAAATGGACAAAACCCACGATTTTTGGAAATTATATTCTGCTGCCCAGGTAACATGAATCGCGATAGCGAAGACTTATATGCGATCGCGAAGAAGAAAAATATTAGCTGCCAATTATGCACTACGCCATCGCGAACAAAGGGACGTGGTCACGAAGGTGAAATATCACTGCCCAAAGAAAAGCACTATGCAACCGCAGAACGAAGAGCGCGAACGCGGTTCATCATAGCCTCAATGTACACGATCGCGAGCAAGGATATGCGAACGCGAAGAAAAAGTGGGGCTCCCCAGCAAGGCCAACTCCACGAGAACGCGATGCAGAAGAATTTACACGTTCGCGATCGCGAACCATGCACTCCGAACGCGAATAAGTAAAATGGGTTACTCACCAAATAGCCTACGCGATTGCGTCTGTATCTTCGCGATCGCGTAGAAGGACATTAGACATCAGAACTTCAGCTTTCCAAAACATAAGAAAATGGCCCGTAGCCCTTCCGAAACACACCCAAGCCCCCGGGACCCCGTCGAAACAAGCAAACAAGTTCCATAACATAACGCGGATCTACTCGACGCCTCAAATCACATCAAACTACCTCGAAACTATGAATTGCATCTCGAATCGAACTTATGAACTTTCAAATCTTCCAACTTCCAGAACTCGTGCCGAAGAATATCTAATCAACCCAGAAGGACATCGAATCTTGCATGCAAGACTCAAATGACATAACGGAGCTAATGCAACTCTCAGAATCGCAATCCGAGCTCGATACCAACAAAGTCAACTCCTGGTCAAACCTCTTAACCTTCCAAAATTTTAATTTTCCAATTTTTCGCCAAAATGCTTCAAATTATCCTACGGACCTCCAAATCCAAATCTGGATGCACGCCTAAGTCCAAAATCACCTTACGAAGCTATTGCAATTATCAAAACGCCATTCCGGAGTCGTGTATACAAAATTTAAAACTCTGATCAACTCTTATAGCTTAAGCTTCTAAAACAGGAATCCTTCTTCCAATTTGATCCTGAATCATCCGAAAATCGAACTCGACCACACAAGCGAGTCATAACACATAATTTGAAGATTCTCGAGACCTTAAGCCGCCGAACAGGCTGCAAATTCTCAAAATGACCGGCTGGGTCGTTACATTAACGCCAAAACTATATCTGATTATACACTTCCCTAATTGTGGGCCTTCAATATGACCTCAAACATTACAAATCCAACAGCTTTGAATATTTGTAGAATTGCTTTAGGCGGGCATTTAATTTACTATCCTAATTGTGTACACGTTCGCGTGACATAATATTCCCAAAATAAAATTAAAATACGCGTTCGCGCGACTTTGGCCAAATATAATCTTAATAATTAATAAAGCATGATTAATTGTGTACACGCACTCGTGACATGATTTTAGCGCCATAAATAAAACGGATTTACGCACTGTAATATATTTCAAAGGATAAATCCATAACGCCATAATTAAAAGTAGTAAAAGGTAAAACACACATAGGTTCAAAAAATACGTATTTAAATATTATTTAAGCCAGGTATGATTAAAATGACCGTGCTAAAATTGCGGAATCCGAGAATTCCCAATACCTTCTCTCGGATAAACAAAAAATTTTACCCGGCCTTCTGTGCTTTGCGGACTTTAAAACAGAGTCAATTTCCTAGGTTTGGAATTTTAAAACAAACCAGTGACTTGGGACACCATAATAAATATTTCAAGCGGCGACTCTAATTAAATAAATAATCTCATTTAGAATAATTTCGCTTTAATTGGAAAAACTCCTTTCCCTCGAAAAAGGAGGTGTGACAATTACAACTCGATTTCTTAAAACACATTGACTAAACTGACTCAAGAAGAACACTAACACTAGTAATCGACTTGAGTGTTGAAAATGTAGTTCCACAGTTGATGTGCAAAAGGATAATCTCAGCAATCCAAAAGATAGTATTTAAATTTCCTAGACTCCGAGAAATTTTAGGGGTCCTATGTACAGTCAGCTTCTCATTTGATAGGACTCCTACAGCTTCAAGGACTACACAATTCTTGGGACTCTTGTCTATCACTTATGCAAGCATATCTTCTTGGACAACGATCCTTATCATGTTAGCTGTCCTCTTCCAACAAATTCGTACTTAAATAACTTTGTGAAAAAAGTTACTGCCTTCCAAGAACCATTGATCAAGCGACCTTTAGGACCTGGTTCTTAGAGCAGTTCATTAGCTACATTGAGGACCTAGTTCTTAGAGCATTTCCTCTAAACAAACTTTGTTAATCATCAAAACCTCGATCCTCCAACACTTAGATTTAGAATCATCATACTTCTTTTGTCCTATAAAAATGATAACAGTGAAAGTATGATGATCAAAATATTTAGTATTTTTTAGTTGAATTCTGACATCAACTCTACTAAATTTTTAAAAGCATTTTGAAAGTAACATATTAAGTAATAAATATAATAGAAATCATTAGCAATTATATTCTCTCTGTCTTACTTTGTATGGCACACATTCTTTTAGGTTGTCATAAAAAAATATTTATATAGTTGGAGATAATTTAACTTTAAATTTTTAATATTTTATTCTTAAAATTAAATTATAGTCATACTAATATCTATAATTATTTTTTACAACAAGTACTAGTAGTCCTTTCTTAAATTTTGTAATATACACTGAGACAAAATAATTAAAAATTGGTGCAAAATATGTTCAAAAATCATACAATAGAAAAATGTTTCAACACCTTAATTAATGTGTACACATAAAATGAAAAGGAGTTGTATTTGCTTTAGATATACTTATATGACGTATAAGCTTAATAGAAAATGCCTCCTCCTTGACGTTGCCACATGAGACGGGACCAAAGAAGTCCCGTTTTCTTTGTTTTTTTTTTTTTTTGGTTAGTTATTCGGTATCCAAAATTTAATCAATTTAGATAATTGAAAAAATAAAGTATTTTGTATCAAGAAATTTTGAATTTAAGATCTCTTATTAAGGGTGTGAAATTTTATTCTGTCCACCACCTCTCTAGTTGGTACCGTTAATAGCGGAGTAAAAAGACCTACTCACAGCATATATTTTAGGAATTTTTATCTTCTACAGCAAAGGTTAACACCTTATTTATTTTAAATAAATATCATTTAAAAAAATTATAGATACCTTTTAAGGTTTATAGCAAAATATTTAATTTTGGTTACCTCCTAGCCCTAAGCCACTAAACACGCTAATCAGTTACACTATTTTCTTTCTCTCTCTACTTTGATACGTCTCATTCTCTTCCCCCATCCCATTAAAATTTTCGATCTCCTCTTCCTTCCACCGGATTTGTGCAAAGCCCACTTCAGAGCAGGTTCACTCTCTGCTTCAGCCGGTTTAAAATCTATTGAACATTTAATCTGGTTGGTTTCTCACCAACAACAGCAGCCGCCAGTAGACTTACTGCACACTTTTTATTTTTTGGGAACATAATGCGATAAGCATTTAGGCAAAATGCTCTTTGAACTTTATTTTATGGCCTTCCAAGATCAGAAGTGGCTTTGTTCTTGGAATCCCAAATATGTTAGAAGGGTTAAATCTCCATGTTTGAGTTTTGGAGTTGCTCAAGTATATTTGTCTCTGCCAACTTCGGTTTGTTAGTGGAGACAAAGATGTCTCCAGAGATGGTGAGCGTGGAGATATGGATGTTGTAGGATGATTTTCTGTTAATATATTTCAATGTATTTCATTGTATTCATTATCTTTTTTTTCATTGTAATTCAATGTATCTCGTTGTATTCCATGTATTTCATTGAATTCATTGTCTTTTTTTCTCATTGTATTTCAATGTATCCCGCTGTATTTTATGTATTTCATTGTATTCACTATCTCGCTATATGTCGTGAATGTATTCATAAGTTTTTGTAATTAATATAATTTATGTATTCAGATGTATTATATAATTTCTCTGAAGATTGCTATGTTTTGGGGGTATTTTTCGGTTGAAAATCTTTTTTATAAATGAAAATACAAAATTTGTGTGTTATAATTGAGTTTGTTGAGTTATATTAGGAGTCTATTATGTTAATTGATTCACTTTCCGTTTTAAAAACAGTGTAATCCCCTATTTCACGTCGTGAATACAGTCGAATACAATAATCTGTCCAGTTGTAATCCCATGTTTCACACCATGAATACAGTCGAATACACTCGAATACAACAACTGATTAGCTGGACTTCCCTGATCCACGCCTATTTTTGTTACTGTATTCATGAATACAATAGCTTAAATACATCAAATACATCTTATAACCACATAAAAGTTATCTATAATCCGTAATATAGCAAACGGTATCTATAGATGGCTAATTACTACTAAAAAATAGTGCTTTATGAAAATTTCCCTTTATTTTATAACTCTTCATATCTAATTGTTCCCTTAAATTTTATTGCATCCGCTCCTTATTGTTGGTAATTTTGCAAATGAAATTTTCTTCGTGAGAACTTAAGTACAACAATATAATCAAACACCTTTCTCTTTCCTTAAGGAAACTATTCCAAACTAGTTGAAAGTTTATAGAAACAGAGGCAAGCAATTCCTTGGTTGAAAAGATGCTCCTCCTACACTTTTCTATCCTCCCCTTGACCACCTGCAGCTAGAGTGGTGAAGATAGAGATTATAACATAACAGGAAGGTAAACAGAGATGGTTCTTTGCCAGCTTTCTTCAATACTGTTTTCTAATTCAATTTGGGTTGTCTGATGTTTATTATAATGAGACATGGTCACTTACCTTCACCACTTACTTTAGTTTTTATAGTCTCCAATAGATCACACGACATGATGTAAATTGTAAACCAAGGTTCTAAAGTTAAACATACTGATCATGTTCATAATCGAAATTCGAGAAGTTTATTGGTTGCAGTTATACAAGGATGCTCAAACCAGATACAATCACACATGCAAACCAAACCAGCTACACTGCAAATTTAAAGCGTAGCATCGATTCATAGAAGAATCCAATTTGTGTGACCAGCAGCAATAGTATCAACAATACCTAATCATCAATTTACAATCTCCACAGCTTCGAAACCTTTTTCGATCGAAGCCTTGACAGCATCCAAAACCAGAGTTGTCTTCCTACTAAGAGTTGGCCACTTCTTCTCAGGTTTTGAGCCTTCGTTTTTAATACTTGCAACCAGCCTAGAGAATTCTTTCACCATGAGAGCTTCCTGTGGAATGTCAGTCATGACCGTGTGCTCGCTAGGTTTTGGCTCCCACCCTGTAACAAGTTCTTTAAATCCAGATTCTACAGCTGAGACAAATGAAGCTTTCTTCTCCTCAAAGGGGATGATAAAGTCATGAATGTGTAACGTGCCCTTTGTTCCAACAGCAGTTAAATCCATTGTCAAGTTGGATAGGAAAGAGCAATGAAAACTTGCCACTTTCCCATCTTCCCACGATAAAGAAGCACCGCATGATATAATCACCCCCGCCTTGTTGAACACAGGGTTGCGTAAAGCAATTACTGATTTGGGAAGCTCAAAATCAGCAGCCCACAGAATACCCCTAATGCAATACCACCCAACATCACCAAGAGCACCAAGAGCATCAAGATCTGGTTTTACTCGAATGTCATTCTCAAGGAAGTTCTGATCAGCAGCAAATGTGAAACAAGTGTTTACCTGCAGAGCTCATTAGATATCAACTTCAGGACTACTAATATTAGCAGATATAAAGAAATTCGTAGCACTGAATCCAGCAGAAGGGCATGTAGTTGTATAAGTGAAAGCAGAGAGCAAGAAGAATACTTAGCTAATCAATACTTATAGAACATTGCAAAACAATGTCAATACAATAAGATAATAAATGGATCTGATTCTGGCACAAACAAGCTTGTACAAGTGAGGTCTCTCTAGTGCAACTAGGTCCATAGTACCGGAAACTATATGCGAATCAAGATCGATGAAAGGAAGTTTCACAATAACTCATACTCGTTATCAAATCCTACAGTTCCAGAAACTATACGCGAATCAAGATCGATCAAAGGAAGTTTCACAATAAGTAACTCAAACCCGTTATGAAATCCTACTCAAAGGAACATGGAGGCCCTTGTGGCAGAACAGGCAACCTAATGATCTGCAAAACATTGCTTCAAGTTAATCATAATAAAACTACAGACGTGGTACTACCATGAAAGCTTTGTATAACAAAAGCACCAATCAATCAACTAAAGCCTAAATCTGTTAGGGTCAACTCTATCAATGATGTGTATACAGTTCACTCTATTGGATTTCCAATGTGTCACTGTCACATGCGACAAATTCTAAAAATATAGATGGAATTAAAAAGCATGTCTGCATAAGGTAACCTTCCGCCCCCGAGAAGCCCTCCATTTGACTTAAGATCAAGGCCCCTCAACTCACACCTAGGATTAGACTTCCTAAATCAAGTTTGTACAAGGTTTAACTGTTTGCCTAATGGGTACAGAGGCGGACCTATGTGTAACCTTGAGGGGTCTCCGGACCCCGTAAACTTAGGCAGATAGTGTGTATATGTATATGTCTATACCGTGAAAATGGTTAATCTAAATCACTTGGCATCCTCTCTAAATGCCTTTAGGAGGCACTGGTTGAGCAGAATATTGATGACCAGTCGCGTTAAAATCTTGGGTCTGCCTTTGAATGGGCAATAGGGGGATATTAAGCCTATGTTCTGCCAGTGGGGACAGGGTCATGAACAGTCATTTATTGGGTTAAAAAATAAGTACTGCATCCAAATGCACTATCGCTGATAGACATTAGTTTACACCTTTGACCACCATTTAGTCGAAAAATGATAACTTATCCTACAACTTGCTCTACAATGCTCAAAAACACCTATGCTTTTCTTGACTATTCCTTCTTTCACCGTGATGAAGAAGCATTCTAGTTCCGATAATATTGAAACTTCCACCCGTTCCCCTAACGCGGTCACTGTCACTCAGTTAATCAACTAGTTAAATCCAAAAACTAGCCTGAGCCGGACTATATGAATGCCTCCTATGCATTCAGCTCTTTTGGATCCACTATCCCTCAAACAGTGCAACCCTGTTCTACTTGACTAAGTCCGTACTACTCCGATGAGATAGTTGCTTTACCCAACTACCCTTTTTGACAAAAAGACAGAGATCACCAATTGTGCATTCATTAATTTCAACAAAAATGGAAAGTGCCCTGTCCTTGAAAAAAAAGGAAAAAAGAAAAAAAGAGACCCTCCCTCATAAATTGCAACGAAAGGAGATTATAGGTCAAGTTTATTATTTATAGGTTGCCCCTCATTAGTTTTACCACTACAGTTTAGCCCCACTTTATTATCTATTTTCATTAGTACCCCTATTAAGTTTATATATATATATATATATATTCTGTAACCATAGCATTGTAGGTAATCTGTTAAATGAAAATCTGAATCTTTTATCTTTTAATTACTTTTCTTTTTTTTCTCTTAGTTCCTCTTTCCTGTTTCAATGGCGAATCCAGTGTCGGATTCGCTACAATTGGTATCAGAGCCACCGGTCTTCGGCTTTACTTCCGTTGCAACGTTCGACCAATCGACAAGAACGGAGCAATGGTTCACTCTGCAACATCATTGCACTAATCAGTCCTACCAAACATATTCTCATTTTTATATGGCATCCTATGGCACTGGGAACTATTGTGGTGAATTTTATCAGCATCCTTATGGCTTTGAGGTTAATGGTGTGATGCAGGATTCATATGCAAATCATTGCTACGATACAAATCTCGGTTCTCTTCCTAATCCATATGGATTTGAGTGTATCCCTAGAACCACAAGTGTTGCACGAGACTCTAAGCACAAACGATGTGCCACCGGTGGCAAGAGAAAAGCTTGGAGGAAGAAGCACAAATATGAGCTTGGTCGACAATCTGTTGCTGCCAAGCTTTCAAGTAAAAAGAAGGTCAGGCGAGTTCATGTGCAAGTCAGCAATGGTGAATGGGCGCCCAAGTATTCTGTTGGAAGCGAAATAATGAAAGAGGACCAGCCTTTAGTTGTGGAAGGAAATAGAGAAATTGAGGTTCATGTGTTCGATAAAATTCCTCAGAGGGAGAAAATCAATTTGAAAGATAGCAATGGGATGATGCTGACATGACTGAACAACTGGAGATAGATGGTATAGGAATTGAGATCAAAGATGCAGTTGCTGCTAATGCTGTCGCTGATTACTTGGAGATTAGTACGGACCAGTTGTTTGAGGAATGTCCTCTAAAGGACAACACTGATTTGTTTGATGTGCTTCAGTCAATAAAAATTTAAGATGATTTTGAAAGCACCGGAGGTGTCTCTATTGTCCTTACGGACATCCATGAATGGGAAAGTATTTATAATCAAATTTGTATGGATTATGAGACTCATTTTGTTAACATTGATGATACTGAAGAAAACAACGGTGTAGAGGATAATGAGAAGTTCAGTAATGAGCATGAACAAACTAATGGAGGTGCTGAGGTGGAGATGGAAAAAGGCAAGGAAGAGGATCCGGAAGATGAACCAGTAAATATACTTCTAGAAATCTCCTCGAATGATCAACTACCAGTGCTTCCTTATTTCAAAGAAGATACCCAAAATTTGGTCAATAACGATCCAGCACACCAGAAAATCTTCATGTTTAGATTAGGTTGTGATACGCTTTTCGAGAATATTTGTGTCCTTGAGTATGTCAAATCTGATTTATTAGAGTTATTTGGTAAGTGTCCTCAACAGGGTATAGCTGGGCTAGGTCACCAGAGGTCCCAAGAGGAAGGGATAGCTATGGTGGAAATTGGAGTGAATAAGTCCCCGATAGTTGCACTAAATATAGTGGGAAAGGTTTTCAATGAAAATCCCAAAAGAAATGAAAGCGCGTGGATTTGTCCGTTTGCTAAAGAAGAACCAGAGATAAATGAATCTAAACAAACCTCTATGGTTTTCCAAATAATGAAGGCTGGTGATTTCCCTCTAAAGTTGCTTGTGTACAATCATTTGACTGATATATATGTCAAAAGTCTTAACAAGGCTGTTTTGAAACTTCTTAACAAATTGGTCAAAACTGATATTCAAGATTGGCAGCTACAAATATTTCTTGATGGCATAATGCAATATACAACATTATTGTTGATATTGGAATGTAGAATGGAGTCATTTGAAGCAGTTATAATAGGTGGCAGGAATGGTGACCTGCTAAATCTCAGCATTGTGGCATTTTTTGGTGAATTTTCTAGTGCTTTATCATTAGTTACAACTGACAAAGCAATCACAAGCCTGATTCTATTAGCTTATTACTTGAAAGAGGAGGGTTCATCTCAGGAACCTGAACCATCTATGTCAGGGGTAGTGGGTGAGAATATTGGCAGTGTTGACTCTGTAATAGCCGATATAGATTTTGGTAAGTTTGCAACAATACTTGAGCATGGGGATGCTTATGTTAAAGTGTTGGCCCAAGAACAGGTGAAGTTTTGAAGAATGACAAATGAACTCAGTCATGGACCAGTTCCATCGTGTAAAGTACAGTCATGCTCAACCTATACATGTGAGATGCACGTGAAGGAGATAAGTCCTACTGATCAAGAAGCAATATCTCCTGATCTGATCGAAAAGGTTGCATATTGGATAAGGGGAGAAAGTCTCCTTATATCAAGAGAACACAATCCGGATAAAGATAGTGTTGGAGTTTGAGATCTTCAAGAACTCAACTACGATAGAAGATCAGCAATTGAGTCCCAATCAAAATCTGATTACTAACCCATTAAAAGACAGTGATTGTTCTCTTTTACAGGTATTGCACATACGCAGAAGTTAAACTAAATTGAGAGCAAAAGAGCAAGGCGATTTTGCAAAAAATTTATGTGAGATTTGAGTGTGCACTCCTGAAGCTACTTGAACGAGATAGAAGAATCAGTTCCATTGTGTATTTCTTTTATTCTAGTTCAATTGTAGTAGGTGGTTTAAAATTGTACCTTTCAGCTTTCATAGAAGCAATTGTATTAGGTACCTAGAGTGTTCAAGTTATAAGTTAACTTGAAGTTGTCGCAACAGTTGAGGCTGTGTGCCACAACGGGATTAGAGTTGATCCTTAGGTTTACAAAGAGTTTTGTAAATGCTGTTTTGGCTTAGTGATTTTAATGGAAGTTTGGGAAAATCCTACCGAGTAGTAGGTCGTAGTTTTTTCACCGTTTGAGCCAGGTGTTTTCCACGTAAAAATCTCTGTGTTCTTTATTTTATGTACTTATTATTCCACAAACAGTAGTAGTTAGTACATCTAGAAGAACCAGGTTCTTCTAGAGCGAAAATTGGGTACCACACAAATCACCCCCCCCCCTCTTGTGTGGTATTGACGTTTAGAACATCAATTGGTATCAGAGCAGGTTATTCTTGAAGAGGCTAACACCTTAGGAAAAGATCAAGATGAGTGCACCACCTGGGAACTGGGAAGGGCAATCCACTGCTAGGCCTCCACTCTTCAATGGTCAGTACTATTCCTGGTGGAAGAACAGGATGAGAGATCATATCATAGGAGAGGACTATGAACTCTGGGACATAGTCACTGATGGTCCTTTGGCAACTACAAAGAAGAAATGAGGAAGGAATGGATGTGCCAAAGACAAGAGCTGACTGCACTGCTGAAGATTTGAAGAAATGGGAGAAG